GTAAGATATGCTCCCATCCAAATGTGTTGTGTTAATTAGTAAGCTGTTGAAATACTAGAGAATCAGTTTGTGGAAATGTAATGGATCATTTTTTAAGGTTAATGATACCTGTAACAATTTAAAGAATGCACGAAATATACTTTGATAGACTTGGTACTTAAATTCTTTTTTTAGGATATTACATCACTTAACACTAATCAGTTTGAAGTGGACTTTGACAGTTTTACTCGGGAACTTTCGGACCGTACCGTATATGGTGGGTCATGTAACCAAAGTTTATGCGTCTCAAGAAAAAAGATGGGATGTCGTCTTTTAACACGAAGAGAACAATTAATGAACAGAGGGTAATGAAAGCATTTGGTAGCTAATAAAATATTAACGTCGCGTGTCTTTCAGCCAAAAGAGGAGGAATTGAGCTCATTTTGAGCACAAATTCAACTGTATTTAAATATATTCGATTGTGTTCAAGTACTTTTGGGTGAAATATATTTCTACTTAAGATAATGTAAGAACTATATATAGATGAACATGATGTTAAAATAGTTATTAATATAGCCAAGCTTTGTTTAAAGTAAATTTTGTGTGGTCAAGCTATCAGATGTGATTGCGTTGAAGTATTTATATTTATAACATCAATGTACTGTGTTACTATTTTCCATCTGTTTTCATTTTTATCATGAAGACTTTATAGCAACAAAACTTTTTTCAAAGATTCTTGTATTCTTAGTGACTTGACAAATATATAATTTAATTTAAGGAAAACACACATGTGTAATATCCATTTAACGATAAACATGCGGTTCTTAATGAAAAACAAACACAAAATGTCAATTTTGATTTTATAAAGTTGAACTGTTGCACATAATTGCTACAATCATTAAAAATAATTTTCCAGTCCATATCTTTCTCCTCCATCCACTAACCGTATTAAATAGCTAGTGATGAAAACTTGAAAAGAAAGTTGAAATGTACTACAAAGGAAGCCGACATGTTTCTGCAAGAACGCCGAAATGCAGCGGAATAGTAGAAAGCAGAAAGAAAGCCAAAACTAGCAGAAAGGAAGGTGATAAGCAATAGAAAGAAAACAGAAAGAAAACCAAAAGAAAGGCAACAGAAAAGAAGCTGAAATGCAACAGAAACTTTTGTATAAGGTCAAAAGATACAGATTCACATGACTACAAGTAAACGTATTCACATGTCATACACATGACAACAAGTAAACCTATTCGCATGTCACACGTGCTTCTTAATTTCTCTCCTTTTATAACTCTTAATCTTTACTTACTAAATGTCTCTGACAACAAAAAAACAGCTTAGTTATTTTTAGCTCGAAGGGAAAAGGAATTGGTTAAAATGAAGACTAGTATATTTTGAAAATGATATAAATATATATGTTATAATTTTAGTAGGAAAACCATCGTAGTTCTTTTGTAACAGTATTTTACACAGACAGAAAACTGAGAAGTTACATACTGTGCTATATACCATTCTGTAATTTTTTATGTATGATCTCTTTAGTAGACCGTTCCAGTAGTGTTGGTGAATGGATAATTTTTGTAGAGTAGAATTTTGTATACTCGTCGAAGAAATATTGCAGGTATCAAATTCATGAAACAATTCATGGAACAAGACGTATCGTTGAAATAACATCCGACTTACTTGGCCAAGGCACAAAGAGTGACAGCTCGTTAGACTGGAATTTAACCCATTTCGTATAAATCCGGGAAACATGACTAGCTGAAACAGAAAATGTATCAGTCAAAAACATGATATAAAATCCTTTTCGTGTCCTGACAAGAGTAAGAATGAATTCTTCCCAATATGTCAATACTCTTAAGACATGCATTCTTTTAATAGGCTGGGTGATGGCTATATCAGTAGAACCTCTCCAATACCTTAGACTCTTTGCTTTCTCTTTGATCAAAGTGAAAACCAAGTTCAACTTTTTTAGTGACAATTAAATGTAGCGGTAGCATTTCTCTGAAAAATAGCTTGTTCAATAAATAAGTTTTTTTTCAACGTTTTAACATTGCCCCGGCAATAACAGTGAACAAGGTCATGTTCATCCTTTTCAAAGCTGTAGCTATTTTCAGAATCATAACTTGCAACATTAAAATCTGTTGTACAAATAATTTGTGGAATCTGTTGGTGATTAGACTCTGGGTCAGTACACTGCTCGGAAACAGTGATTTCAGCTGCACAATATGCCTCATTCTCATGCTCAAAGCATTTCTCTGTGATGCCTTCACACAGAATTTTTCGTCTCTTTCTTTTCGGAATATCTGATTTGCTTCTATCTTTCGGAGGTAATCGTTTACTAGTTTCTTTTGGTTGGTATCCTTTTAGATGCAAAGTTGGATTGGGACAGCCTTCGGATCGATAACCAGCAAGAAAATGATTAGAACAAACCTTCGTATTAGTAGTGACTTTTTACAAAATGTTATCTTTATAAAGATATATAATAATTGCCCTCAGCGAACTCAGAATGCATTGCAAAAACCGAAGAATGCATTGCAAAAACCGCGAAAATTTATAAGAGACTGGCAACCGGCAAATATCTTATTGAAACCCACATATTTTCTGTACACACAATACGATGACGCAAAGGACCAATTAACAAATACGGCTAACCTGACGTTTACTCCTCACTTAACTCTGAAGATGACTACCGCTAAGGTTGTCGAAACGTCATTCTACATCAATGCCTACAGTGCTTTTCAGGACTCTACTAATTTGGACGATCTTTATCCACAAACAAGTATTTATCTTGTTAGCTTTATTCAAATTTTGCGCATCTTAACCCTGACCCAAGTGTCTAGTACACTGTTCAAGTAAATGCTGTCTGTGAGATCCTTTTCACAAGCCAGTATTATTAAGTTTGTTTAAACGTTTTTCTTTCATGAATCACGAGATATTGGGTATCAATCTTTTTTAAAACCGTTAATGAAATCGCCAAAGAGGCTCCTGATGCGAATTCCTATTTTTGAAACTGGTTCTGTTTCTTGATATTCGTATTTTCAATGTGGAAGTATGCTTGTGTTGTAATACATATTTTCCGAAAAGATCGACTTGTTTTGTGTCAAAAATATGGAAGAAAATGTTCAATTTTGTAAACTCAGCCATATTCTGTTACCTATTGTGCTCTTTTGAATAATCTCTATACGATTTCCGGAGCGCCTGTTTGAACAGATCAGTATTTTGTTTCGTTATCCTCAGGAATGTACTGATATTTCCGCTTCTGTTTCTTTGTTATTGTAATTAATAAAACATTTGATAAAAAATCCAAGGTAAATAGTTAAGGCTCACACAACTAATTCAATTATAGCTACTTATAAAAATGTTAGTACTTTACGAGATTTCAAAAAGACGTAATAAGTGACCATTAAAAAAGACGACATTAACGACATGAAGCACGAATAGACAACAAAAACAACATTTCCAATAGTTGTTATTTTATAAGAGACAACAATTTGTTAAGTCGTCATTTCATCTGATAGAGGTAATTTTTTAATGTTCCTACGTTTGTGTCTACCTTAATATCTAACTTTGTTTATGTCTACCTTTATGTGTACCTTTATGTCTACTTTTATCGATGTAACTTTCCTTTAAATTTGTATTTTGATATGTTATTTGGCCGACCAGGAAATTATACTAATGCACATTTACTTAATTGAATTACCAAAAATGTCACAACAGTGACAACACAGTTTTTCCAACCAAATTTCAGATTTCAGTGGAGCATACTGTTTTAGGAGGGGGACCATGGAAAAACCTTTTATTACGGTTCGTTTGTCACACATTAAAGTTCAGCGCAGAAATTTAACAATGGCAGCAAAACACACGAAATTTTAGGTCAAAAATAAGATAGAACTCGTTTACTAAAAGGACACTGTCATACCAAGTATAGTACAGTTTTACCATATGTTTTTGTACATAGATTGCTTATATATGCTGATTTGCTCCCATAAAACACAAAATAATTAACCTTACGCATAAACATTTTATTCTATTATTTATTAAGAATAAAATGTTTACTTAGTACGGAGTGTCAATCGTTTTGTGATATACTAAAACGCTTTTTGCCAGTCGTAATTTTTGCTGATTTAAGTTTAACTATTGTATTAATTACCATATTTCCACAAATAAATTTTATTTTGAATTGAAGCTGTTCGGCGTTTGGCTACCAACTGCGTTTTAATTGTTTGAGCTTTCAACATATATAGTCAGTAGATATCAAAATAATTATTTGATCTCTTAAGAGTGAGCGATATTAAGTTGATAAAAAAATTCTTTTTTTAATGCTGTCTTTCCTGCGTAGATAAACTCATGCAATGTTTTAATGTAACATTAGGTATTTTATGCATGGAACTTACGTCTTAAACTAATTTCTAAGCAAGCTATAACTGAAAATTAGTCAAACCAATCAAAACTGTACTAACCATGCATTGCAAACAACATGTTTTTTAAAAAAAGCTTGAAAAATGAAACGGGAAAGTATAAATTTCAAATCAGAGCTGGTGTCTTTTAACATGTATATAAACTATATTCACTCAACTGTATGAAAGCTATGCTATGACTTATGATATGAATACTTCTAATAAACCACTTTTATTATAGATTGCTATATATAAGCTATATATGAAGTATATATATTTGATTTAATTTATTTCTAGCTGTAAGCGATTCCTCAAGCAATCGCTTTATATCCTTTCCAAGGAAGTACTGAATATGATCTCTCAGTTAAAAAAAACGAGATATTGGTTGTTATTAGTGACAATGAAGAAGTCTTTTGTATGGTGCGCAATCGATATGGTCAAACCTGAATGGTGCCAGTAACTCATTTGGCAGCACCTATTTTTGATAAATCTATCAAGATATTATCTCGAGGAAGGACGATAACTGCACATGAGAGCAATGGAAAAAATAATTTGTCAGTTAGCAATACAGAAAGTCACAATTTTTGACTAAAGTGGTAATTATTGGTGGTTTGTTGGATTCCGGGGTCAAACTGGCTTTTTACCAAAAGATATTATAAAAGAATTAAAGGTATTTTCTTGGTACATATAGTCATGATTTATGTGTGAAAAAATAAAATTCATTTCCGTTTTAATCACTAGGCACCTTCTGAAAAACACGAGTCAGGTGTGTGAGTAAATTATGTTTTCCTCGTGCTTTTAATTAACAGCAAATTCAACTACAAATATTATGATATACACATTAGCATATGCAGTAGATTACAGCTGTCATGTCATGTTATCTTTGACTGCTGCTACAAAGCATAGCATGTCACTAGAAATATTTCTTAATTTTTTTGTGATTGCAGATTTGCAAAAGTTTGCAATCCAAGATATTACGCCATCAAAAGCTTTATGTGAAGTAAGTATACCTCATACCATTACAAATTTCAATAGTACTCCTTAATGAGTGACGCACAAGAAGACTGTGAGAACAATTAAAAGAGTTTTCCCCAATTGCGTTTGTTTTAATATACTCAATGTCATTTCTTAAGCATTTACTAGTTGCTTATTTTTAAAATAATTTTCTCTTTCTAACACTAAAGTATTCGTTTTTAACGATTTTATGCACATTTTCAATTTCCAGGAAGAAACAGATGTCCTGCTCTTATTTCAAAAGCCTCTTCCAACCAAGGGACAGTATTTTATTAAATTTAATGGAAAATGCAACAAAACAAAAGTTCTTGCTGAACGTCTCAATGATTTCATCTTGAAAATTAGCACGCCAAGTAAGTGCTATTTTATCAATTTGTTAATGTTGCAATCCCTTTGAGTATTGTCAAACTGTAAATTTGCATCTATCTTGCTTGATAAATTTATATTCAAGGAGTAAAAAGCTGCTGTAATTTTCATTTATATATGCAATTTTATTGAAATCTTAAATATATATTGCAGAATACTATCCTGCTGAAAAGACATCTGTCATTATCTGTCACAAACAATCTGAGTCTCATAAGCAGCTTATCTCCTTGTGTGTTGAATTCCAGTTCGAATCTATCACAGATGTCGTTGAACTTGTCCTACATGCAAAGTCGGTTTCTGTAGATGTTCCTCGACGGTTATATGAAATTTTGGGAAAATACATGGAAGCACATGACATCACTGTAATAATCTTCCCATCCTTCTTTCAATTTCATTACAACAACGTAGCATTACAAATACCTGTTTTTTACTGTGTTCTTCCACTAATGCAAAAACATTAACTGCCTTCATGTGTATACCACATCAAAAGTTTAATCACATTGCGTGATTAATATACATGTTTGTAGATGTAGATCATCCCGGTTATTGTAGTCCTGAGAAGGACTGTTTTTGTTATGTTTGACTGACGTTTCGACAACGTTAGCGATAGTCATCTTTCGAATCAAATGAGGAAAAAACGTCAGGTTAGCCGTATATATTATCTGGTTCTTACGTCATTGTACTGTGTGTACAGGAAATATGTAAGTGTCAATTGTGTATTGTCATTGTGGATTAGTGTGAAGGGTAAAGTTTTTAGTTGAGCGTTTGTTTGTATTGTGAATAAGTCGTTTGTAAGGTGCCGGTAATTGCTGTGATTTGTTTAAGGGGGTTTGTACCAATTTTGGTATACCAACTTTCTAATGTAAGCCGTTGTCTATAGTCAGTACTGTAAAAAATGTATTTTTCCGAGTCCCAGTCAATGTTGTGTTTTGTCAGTCGGTGATGTTCGGCAATGTGATTGGTTTTGTTTTTTTTCTTTGTAGCTCGTTTGTGTTCAGTAAGTCTTATGTTTAAGTTCCTGCCATTCTCGCCGATATAGAAAGCGTGGCAGCCGGAGCAGTTTATTTTGTAAACAGCACCTTGTCGTTCGTTGGGTTGTTCTTTGTCCTTTATGTTCGTTAGTACTTGTCGTAACGTTGTGATTGGTTTATGTGCGACACGTATGTTGTATGGTAGTAAGATACGCGAGATAGTCTCAGACGTACCTTTGATGTAAGGTATCGTTGCTGTTGTCGCCGAGTTGTTCGTTTCGTTGGGTTCGTTGAGTTTGTAAGTGTTGCGTTTGATAAAGTCAGAGTTATAGTTGTTTTTGTCAAAAACACGTTTGAGATAGTTGTTTTCGTTGTGTAGAGCGTCCGTTGAAAAACATATGATTTGTTCACGTCTTGTTAGTGTTCTGATTGTGGTGCTCTCTGATGATGACATATGTTGGTGACTCTGAAGATGACTACCAAAAACAGTCCTTTTCAGGACTATACTAACCTGGACGAACGACATGTAAAAACATGAAACGATACTCCCGGGGCTTAAATCATTACTTTATTAATAAATACATTAATTCAAACTTTTTCTTTCAGGAAAAAAGGAATTGAACATTCCTTACCAAAAATAATTATACTACCTTTGGGAAAACAATTAACATGGAGGATTATGTTTATGAAGATATTGATGAAGGCAAGTTATAATTTTGACCTTAATTTTTGAGCACAATTTTTTTTTAATTCCAATATAGCACAATTACATACGCAGCAAATTTTGTTGTCCACAAAAAATGGAAGTCGTGTAACATGAAAACACGTCTGATGATCTTCCATATGATAATTTTTGGTCTTGGAAACAAGGTGTTGAAAAATTGAGCTGAAATTCACCATGACGAATTTTTAACGATTTTTTCAATATTGTTTAAGCATTTACGATACGAAATTTGCATTCATACATAATTTGCCATTGTTCTTGGACAAATGACACATTATTAAAAAATTTAATTTAATCAAACTAGTTTGCAACTATAGCGAACAATGTAGTGGTAATGATTAACATATAGGGATCGAGTGAGATTACCATGCAAACTCTACCATGGATAAGTTTCATACGGTACAATGACTAGTAAAACCACTTGCTTGGCAAACCGATATATGCATGGTGCTGCATATTTGATTACAATACTATGTTTAGCATTTAAGCGTACCTTTTTTAATTGCTCAAATACTGCAATTGATAGGCTGCCATTAAGGTAATGACATTTACTAACTGTATATCTTAATAGCTTTATAGCTGACTAAAACCACAACAGTTTTTATAATTTAAATATACAATTGACTTCTGATTTCTGAGTTGTCCATTGTTCCATCAATTCTGTTTCATAAAACTGTTAAACATGAAAATACAAATTCTTGCATAACTTTTTTAATGAGACATTTTATGCTATTCTAGAACCTGAGTATTCATCAAACAACACTGAAGTCTTTAAAGATAAATTTCTTGACGAAGATTACAACATTCGAGACAACATCTATAATATACTCAAAGAGTTAGCTTCTATTTATAGATAGGAGTTTTGATATAATCTAAGAACTATTCTTCAGTTTGAGTTAGATATTTAAGGTTGAGTTTCATATGATTGTTATAAAGAACAGACTCGACAATGAAACAATTTTTTAAAAGAACTTTTTACTTTGGATAACATGTTTGTAAATTGTTTGATAAATACCTGTGTTTTCCATACACTTTAGTTTTTCGTGGATTTGCGGAGCTTATGGTATAGTAGGTCCAAACAAAAAATTTGCATTTGAACATTTGTACATCACAGTTGATAACCAAAAAAATTATCCAGAACCTATTTTAAGAAAAGAGATTGATGATATGTTTGGATGGAAAGCTTCTAACTACATAGAATTCAAGTGTATACCAAAAAAACCACCAACGTTTCGACCATTATCTAACCCTCGTTCTGAAGATTGCGCGCTGCCATTCAATGGTGACATTCAAATTCAAAATAACGATAATTCTTGCAGTACTCTGACAATGTTCTGTCGTAACAAAGGAAAGTATTATGCCTTGACATGTGCACATGTTGCTTGTGCCTCTAACCCAGTGAAAGATTTTCTTCTAAAGAATGAAATGTCAAAAATTAATGATGTTGTAAATGCCCGCAATATCTATGATAGAAACGAATATTTCTACAAACCAGCTAAATTGAACAAGAAAAAACAACTGAATACTTTTCACTGCAACACGGTCAGTAAGTTTAACAGTGAAGCGGACATCATGTCTATTCCAGTAGGAAAAAAAGAAGATTTTAAGCAACTCGGGGGTGATGATATGGAGAATATTGTTTTGAATTTGAAGGAAATAAATGAAGAGCTTTACAAAGCAACAAAAAGCAACGAGGGTTTTGTAGAAGTATGTACAAGTAATTACACCAAGGGCTTTATTATTGAACGGAACTATTGTTATATTGATAAAACTTTGAAGAAACTCATTTACAAAAATGCCGTCAAGGTAAAAAGTAAATCTTCATTTCTGCAGAATGGTGACTCGGGAAGACTTGTTTATTTTAAAGATCAACAAAATGTTTGGCAGCCATTTGCTTATGCTGTGTGTGAAATAGATGATGATGAGAGTGCTGATTCAGAAAAAAGCAATTTATGCTTGAAATTGGATAAAGCGTTGAATTTGCTCGACCTCAATAGTTGCCAATACTTCAACTGTGATCGCTTCGTCCGATGAAGATAGTAAAAAAGATTAGGACCATTCCGATGAGATCAGTGCAGGGGCTTCGAAAACGTTTTTAAAATAATTGTAACGATAGAGTGTGATTCCCGATTATGGGGGATGGATATAAATAATTTTAGTGAAATACCATATATGTATTTTGAAATACTATATATATAATTATTGTGAAATACTATATATGTATTTTGAAACTGGCCATGTTAACATATTATAATTTGGGCCAAACCTTGGTCATGTGATGCCTTTCTTAAGATGAAAGCATACTTCCACTTAGATTACCTACATGAAAGAACCACACGCACACATATAATGTATAATCCTTCATTGTCACATCGTCTTAGTTTTTAACCTATTGTTTACTTAATGAACTTGTATTACATAATAATTTTTAGTACTTTTCAAAATGATAGGAATAACGACAATTTTACATAGATCTATATTAGTATGTAAGATTAAGTCAGTATAAAGTGTCTACAAATAGAGTGTCTCGTGCAAGTTAACGAGTTAAATATGTAATAAAGTGAAATAAACATGAAATAGTGCAGTAAATACTTAATTCGTTCAACAAAATGCGGGGCAATTTCTCTTGAAAAAGTCCAGCATGCATTTGAAAATTCTTCCTGTTGATCATTGAATATCTAAGGGCTGATTACATGAGCCCGGTAGCCGCATCAGTATCAGCTCAGTATAGAAACATACAATAGTCTCACTCCACTGTGCAACTTGGTGCTGCATATTTAACTAGATTACTGTCTGCGGCTAGGCATCTATAAACTCTAATTGGCCGAAAAAAACAATTGACTGACTGCCATTTTGCTAATCACATTCTTAATATGATATGCGCTACACGAAAATTTCTATAGATTGGGACTACTGTTTGTTTCAATACTGTGATTTAGCTAAGCGTTAAATCATTTTGGCAAATGGAAACGATTCGATACTTATCATTAGATAAAGCATATCAAGTAATTTCACAATACTCTGATTTAACAACTACGCAAAAATTTAAAATTAATACAACAAATTTGCCCTTTTTTTGAGAATTACAACCGGAATAACGTGTGGTGCAAACAGTTGTAATTCTTTAACCTTAAAGTTTTGGCCTCTTTTAATCCCTTGATATCATCGGGCTAGCTCACTATACGGGCCAGCTGACCTTCATGTAATCCAGGCCTTAAGTCTTTTTGCAGATAATTTGAAGAGTCATACAAATTACAACTTAGGTCTGGGCATAAGCGTATAGCAATAAACATTGCTTATAGATAACGCTCGGTTCTCAATCGTTTGATTGAATTGAAGATACAAGATTTAAAATCACGGAAGCCGTTAATGTCCGGAGAAATTTCTTAATGCTGTTTAAATTTTGTGTGTTTCGACAATTTTGCTTCGCTTAGTAAATGCCTGACGTGGGCGTCGAAGATTTAAATGAATCTATGCCTCGTAGATCATCAGGATGTGAAGATTCACCTAGTTTCAATGAGAGCTTCACCTCACGTGCATCATTATCTTGTGCTAAAAGAATTTAATGTCTACAAAAGATTCAATGGCAGCTAAGCAACGTCTTTTACATAGGAATAGCAAGGTAATGGGATTTAAAAAGCAAAATATAAGCCTCAAAAAGATGGCTATTGCCTAATAGTTTTATGACTTGTGATCAAAAAGGCTATAGTTATTGCAAACATAGGTCTTATATCAACAGAAGTATTTTCTGTCCTAAATCATCAAAAAGGTATTGCCCAGCTGGATTTGTTGACACAGAAGACAGGTATAATTGCTATTTTCTCGTGTTAAGATAACTTAAATCTTGATTTTATAAAATGATTTTTTTTAATCTTAGTATATTTTATCTTTTTGTTACTATAGTATATGTAAGTTTTGAATGCCGGTATCTAATTTTAAGTCAGTTGGTTATTATCTTATCATCTTAAGCATCTACGACTGGTCATTATAAGACATATGCATAATATCAATATTTATGAAATTATTAAAAACAGTTCTGAAATTGCCACAGTGTTTAATAACCTAAAATGTTATAACCAAAGAAATTTTTATAGGTATAGACAGAACCTGCCAGGAGGATGGCTATCGTTGACAAAAGGAGACACGGGTCTGCAACAAATTTCACGACAAGGAAGCAATAAGTATTCACAAAATGCCAAATCTGTGAAATTTACTGACGAATTATTTCTGTTCACCAGAAGGGGAAGTACCTTGACAATATGCCTATGTGCAAAATAATGGTAGACAAGAAAAATAAACCTATTTCTGTAAAACAATTTTACATTAATATCATCATCTTATTAATAAGTTATATTATTTTAATTATGAAATGTATGTTTCAAATGAACATAAAATAATCTGTTTCTTACAAACAGCAACGATTTTTCCAAGTAACTGGAATAGTTCAATAACTTAAGTTTTTCACTTCATTTTACTTTGCATCTTTCTTATGCTAGCTGTTTGTTGATATTGAAGAGATTGCTTCACTTAAAACAATTTGAATTTTACTCATTGCCTTACGTTTTGCTTCTTTATTCAACAAATATAGCTGAGCAACTACACTTTTGCCAAATGCATCTTCTACAGTTACCACAGCTGATTGATTTTGCAAGGATTTCTTACCACCAGATATACATTCCATAATTTTTACATCCAAGGCCTGATCACATTGCTTTTGTGACATTGCTGCATAAGACCTTTTCTTACTTTGTTGTTTTGAAGCATCATTTTGAACGTTTTTAATAATCTCAAATGAACCACAACACCAACTGTTAAATCCTTAGTATGAGGTTCAGATGTGATGCTAAGTGGATCTTGGCACGGACTTGAAAGAGCTTGCTGAACAACTGGTTGAAAATTACTGTCCAAATTCTTTGTTCGAATATTAACATAAGGTTTTGAAAATGACAGGGCCAAAAGTTATGGATAATGTGGAATTTCATCCACACCTGCTCCACTCTTTTTCCCATTTCCACTTAACACACGAACATATAAATCGCGTAGGTTTTTCCAAATTCTGTCTTTGTCGTCGTTTACTGGGTCAAAAAATATTTTAGAATCCACTTCGTTTGGTGCTGAAACTATGCAAAAACACAACACAACATATGCATTTCAATATTACCTGAATACCTCGATTGACAAGCTGCATTAACAGCATCAGCCACTATTTGCTAGGCATTTTCCTTAATCTTTTTGTTCTTATATTTAGTGTCTTTTGTATTCAAAAGCGCTGGGTATTTTTCAAATGCTTCAATACGTTTCTCCTCAAATTTTGTATATTTTCCCATCTTTTTTCAACTTGTAAATACATTAGCAAAAGCATACTCCACTGTAAAGCGCGTGACTGTGAATTCATTTTCATTGGATAATTGCTGGCGTTTTTCAATTTTGCTGTGTAAAAGGTAAGTTGTGCTTAACTGTCCGTTGACGCGCTTGGAGGACACGTACGGAAACGTAAGGGGGCGAGCGTTCAAAAACGCAACAGTGGAAAGCATCCGTAAAGTGCTTATAAACCTTATAGGGTTTTAGGATAGTTTGAAAGAGCAGTTCTCGAAAACTACAAGTTTAAAAAAACAAATGAATTGCGATCAAAGCTTTCTTCGCAATTATGGTTTAAAAGTCCAGATCTTCACTATATTTATTTCCCAATGGGGTCTGGTATCCAGTACAAGTTGTGACGTCATGTAAGGAATAGAGTCGCGTAGGCTCTATTCAAAACAAGTTATTTGGAGTTTTTAAAACAAGTTATTTGGAGCACGATATTTCGAGTTTTACGTCGTTTTTTTTTCAAAATGTCCTCATCTGAGTCGGAAACATCATCTTCAGATTCATCAGAAATTGCAAATTTTAATATAGAGTGGGAAGGCAGTGTTTTACCGGTGTCTGTCCTTGCAACTTGGTATATCGCCTTGCGAATACATGGGCATTTGTCATGATGTGACAGTGGTAAAGAAAATAGCTTTTTAAATTACTATAATGTTCAGGAAGCGATTACTTACATGACGTCACCCAACCGTGTAGGCCCAGTCCTTTAGCGGTAAAACCGATTGCTTAAAATGGTATATGTTTGCAATTTTGATAGACTGTACAGCGCAAAATATTTGTCCGATTACATCAAAATTTTGGAATATGGCTTTTGACACAACGTACATTGGTAGTGTAACAACCACGTAAGGTCTATATGCACTTTAATTTTGAAGTGGTCGTTTGGATGAGTGCAAATTTCCCTGCTGGCAGCGCTGGTATGCATCTCATTGTGAAGTAAAGATTTAACCACTAGAATAAATAAATGTTTCTAAGAATAGCTGCTTTATATTTCAATAAAATTAAGGCCTAAGTGAAGGAACCTGATTTTACTCTAGTTTATGCACAGTTTGCAGCTAATAAAGGATTTTTTATTAAATAGTGTAGTATTCAATGATTTTTGATATTCTTTGATTATTTACAGCAGGGGCGGGTCTAGAATTTTTCAAACATCAGTCATAAAACGTCGGAGGCGCTCCACACCTGGGGGGTCTGAGGCATTCTCATCTGCGAAATTTTGTATTTAGGAGCCTTGAAAATGCCATTTTCAGCGTTTTACAGCAATACAAAATGTATTTTGTGGGCATCGTTTTTGCGTAAAAACAACACATTTTGAATACGTTTTTTTCAAAAAAAATAATTGAAGTGAACAATACTTGAATGTTTTGCCAAATGTTTAGGCTCATTATCATGCCAAATATATGGCCATTAGCATGTCTAGGAACGTAAAATTTATTTTACAAAAATGCTATTCAAAAACAGATATAGTCTTTAAAAATTTCTACCAAGTTGTCAGGCATAGACCCCCCTAGAGAACCACATTCAAACCTCTATGTAATGAATTTAGTTAAGTTAGAAATTTGGTACTACAAGTGACAGTTCATAGATATAGAAAAGCTCAGACTTCAAACCATGCAAGTTTATTGTAACCCTTTACCCATCTCCACATCAGTGCCAGCAAATTCACCTTTTGAGAAAAAAACTCAAAATTTTTTTCTGCCAAAGGTTAAGCAAAAATTATCAGAGTGAAAATTTGCAGTTAAGGACAGCTTAATGCCATAAATGTTTATTAGGCAATTCACTTGACTATTATCTTCTGCAAGGTGTGCTATATAGCAATCACTAGTAGCATTGTATTATCAAATACAAACAGAATGTAACCAACATGTCTTTAATTATATAATTACATGAATGTTAAAATTTGTTCATGTGTCATGCTTACTGGTTATGGTAAATATCTTTTGATATGATCAAAGCTCGTTTAAATGTAAATCTGAAATAACTTAGTTTAGAAATTATAATGATCATCAGAAAAATTACGTAGTGATCATGAAAAATATTTTGCTGTTTTGCCAAATTTCAGGTTTATCTGCATACATAGGAAGACATTTTTACTTTATAGAAAATGCTTTTAATACATCAATAGCCCTTTGGAATTTATGGCAAACAATCTGGTATGAGTCATAGATTAACACACCTTTACATCTCTATATGAGGTGTAGAAAAGGGGACAA